AAGAAACCTGACCAAGAATACAATACATCCGGCAACTAATATGCCCACCCATGCATCAATTTAACACATCCTACAACACCAAGAATCCAATGCAAAAAGGCTGCATTCTAAAAATGAGAAAACCTCAATTTTCTCCATCTTACCTGGCGACTTGGCAATTACAGTTGGGGTCGAAAATAATTCACTATACACTTCCAAGATTATTGGTGCTTCTGTAGTGGAAGGTTTCGGGATATTGTTCGCCATAGTCTTGGGRCTTGTCGCTTCTTTAGCTGTGGGTATCAATAATAATAACAATCTGTATTTTGAATTTCGTAACGTGCTGCAAGACCAGAGATTAATAGTGAAACAACCAAACGAACCTGTGTACCTCAGCAACTGGTCCATTCATTTGGATATCTGTTTCACTATCCCTCTAATATATGTCCTACCTACGTCATTTGGTTCAAATGGCAGTACTCATTGGTCAAGGTGAATGTCACTTCAACAACTGGATGTGACATTGCGGTGAACCTTACTTCCGTCAGTTACATCTTACTTCCTGTTACCAAGTCATGCAAATTAGTGCACGACTTGATTTCTTGCGTGTCAGAATATGGGCAAAAAGCGCCAAAAACTAGACTTTCGTATGAGTTTTGATCCCAATTTTCGTTTTGGATTAACACTCAAAAMCCTTTTTTAAACAGTTAGAAACTGATGTACTATGATAAAATGCCTGTTTGAAGCGGTATTTTCAATTGTACAAAGATGTTTTGTTGCATTTGTGTTAGAATGTTGCTTTGTCAGKCTTTTTTATAGAAAATATATGGAAAACAAGCAAATGAAGGCCTAAACCTCATTTTCGAATWAAAKTATTGCTTTGGGTTAACACTTTGATTCCACTTTCATCGGTCATCTCCACTTCCAAACAAGTTAAACTTTCGGAATAACAAGATTTTAGCCTTGTGYAACAGCCTTTTTTCAAGAAAATAGTTTTTGGCGCTCRCTSCGTGAATACGAAAAGAATTATCTCTTAATAGCTCTTGAGTGATCACGAAACAAAGGCTCCAGTAGAGGTTGTACTTGATAAAATACAGTAAATTTATGAACATACCAAGTCTAACCTTGACTTGAGGCATTGTTCCATCTTCACTCAAACAAATAGGTCGCGTCATTTCCTGTCTCGTATATAATTTCTACCAGTTATATAATTTCTATAAGTTTCCTATGGGATGATTGCGCACGGGAGTAGTGTTTGCTGGTAAAAATATTTATGAAATACATTCAGCTGTTTATGCTATATACTGTATACTGTTTACTATATATTGCTGGATACATACAATTTTTAGTTCTGACATGCAGCTTTTTCATTGGATAAAATTGTATTAACCAATAAAATGAGGAGTTGCAAACAGTGCAGTCCTACTCCTTTACCGTAAATACAGCGCTGATGCTTGTATCGGGTTCTAAATTCCATGATTTCTGAGAATTCTATGATGGTTTTTTTAAAAAAGACACAAAAGTAATAAAGCTTACTTGATGGTGCAACTTCCTTGGTGGAAGAGGATGTCGTAGGATGTTGTGTGGTTGGGTTTGGTGTTGGTAGAGAACGGTCTACACCCACATCAATAGAYTTTTTCCCAGTGCCATTCTTAGTGTAGCCAGCCACGGCAATAATGTAGCTCTCTCCAGGCAGTAAACCATTTATGATGTAAGAATATGTATCCGCAGAAGAAATGGTTTGTCTTTGCCATTTGTTGGTGTCTCTTTTTCTATAAAAGACGATATAACCAAGAAGAATGCCATTGTGGTACTTTTTAGGAATTGGTTGCCAGGTGATACGGATTGAAGAAGCGTCTCTTGAAACTGCTGTCACGTTATCAGGAGCTTTGGTGGGCACTGTGGAGCCAGRAAGGTTTAAGTCAATAAACAAAAGAATAGGCTTAAAGATCTAACAATCACAGAGAAAACTGGCAATTTCCGAAGATTACTAAAACCACCAGGATTTCCGTTCGGATCCAATATTTAATGAAAATCTACAGGTGTAATCAATAATACTGAAGAAATCCCAACCACTGGAATGCGCTACAGAACACACACACACAAATTAGTTGAAAAGACAAAAAGCTTGTACAGCTGATAAATTCGTCAATACAATTTCGTTTTCTTATTCATAATAGGCATTAATAGTTTCTGTGCGGGRAAAAACGTTTTCACCGATTTTGTAATCAAAAAGAACAGTTAAGACAGCGCGCACTGGCACAGAACATCCATTGGTTACCCATCCATCCATACGTTCATCAACACACAACATTTATCTACCCATCCATCGATTCTACCCACCAATCCAACCAACCATCCAAGAATCCATCTTTCTATTCAACTATATCCACTAATCCCTCTAACCGCGTCATTGCTTCATCAATTCATTCTTACCCGAGTCTCCGGTCTGTATAATAAAATCATCCGACCAAGGTCCTTGCCGAGATGCCTCATCAAGAGCCATGATTTTAATACGGTACTTCGTATTTGGTTTAAGATAAATAACAGCGGAGTTTGAAGTGACTCTCTTCTGTGACGGGTTACTAGACTTGTCTTCTTGGTAGCGCACGTAGAAAGAGAGTGTACTGTTGCTAGGGGGTGCGCGCCACCTTATGGTTGCTATGACACCATGATCTGCACTTGACTCCAACGAATTGCTAAGGGTGAGCTCCGTTGGTTTACCAGGAGAAACTGAAATCAAAATATCCTTCTATCAGTTTCAATTTGAATGATTCTTAATCCCGAGACCTGGAATGTCAAGGGGAAATAGGAGAAACGGACGAATATGACATGGCTTTTGTGTTCGAGGAAGCGAATAGCACATTAGTTTAAAGTAAAGTATGGGAGTGCAATGTGTACCACTCGCAACCATCGTATATATTCGTTATACAGTGCTTTCGAGTAGCATAAGCGCGAGGAATATCACTTGTATTTTCTAGCTACACACCAACCTTTAAACGAGTGTTTTTTTCCTAAACAAAACAAATGACAAGTGGGGTATTCCATGTATCACGATAAAGAAGTCCATTTTATAGCTATTTATCCAACACCATGGATATTTTCTATAACAAACGAAAAATAAACAAAACAAAAAAATACACACACACAAAGACCGCAATCAATGCCTAATGTGAAGTAATAGTGGAATCAACAGCTCTGTTTCCAGCACTGGCTGTATTCGGTTTGGGATAAATGAGAGCACCCCCTCTCGCCAACTAGAGGTCTCTAAGCTAGAACGTCCATAAATAGGTTATATATAGCAGTATGTAAACTGTAACCACCGGCGTTCACGCTGCGATCTTACGTGCAAAAATGAGCCCGAACTTTCAAGAAAGTTATTTATGGGTTCGTAGCTTGTTGTACACGAGTGTCCCAGCTGTGAAAGTTGTTTGACTCAAGGGGTGTACATATACAGTACTTAATGACCTGGCGATGTACAGATAAAGTTCAACGGATATCAGCATGACACATGGGTTGGGACATGATCATACTGTCCCTAATAGAACATTACATATCATGTGTAATATCGATATGCTACAACTAAAATGTGATAGCGTCAATAAYGGGGCACTTCTGAGAGCCACCTTAAAATTATCTTAGTGGTAACGGCGATAAAAATTATCTTTAATGCGAGACTAACATGGAAATACAAAAGAAACGCCACAAATTCCACCGTGAACCTCGAAGATKTGTATAAGATAATTCTGTGTGTAAGATATAACGATATACTTATTTTAATAAAGTTAGTCACCTGAAAAGCTATAAAGCTGAGGCCGACAAGGATTATAGGTAGATACATTTTACATGTTTCAACCGCTTGATAACTGTTAATGGACTTGAGATCTTCTACCAGTTACAGTCTCACCTCTCCTGAGCATCCTCAAGCTGCAGTTTGTATTAAAAAAAGCTTTACTTGTTTGAAATGAATTGCTTCCCATGATCCTCAGTGATCTCAGCTTTGTAGGTTTTTGGTGACTAACTTTATTGAAAAATGTCAATAATGATAGCGAGTTTTCAAGGCAGCCATTCATTATGTTAGGCAAACAGTAGAAAGTATCACATTTTGCCGGAAGACAAATTTCTTGTAAGATAATGCACTGTTCTTGTCTTACGACACAACTGCAATAAAACCACTCTGTATATGAGCATCTATATAAACTAAATATTTGTACTGCGGTAATAATGTAACTGAGCTGATCTGCGCAGTATATCAAGCARCTTATGCAGTTGCTAATTATCACTTTCAGAAAACATTCTCTCTATAAAACRCCTTGCGGAGGGCGTACTTTTTCCCAATTAAACATATTGACGAATGATTGTTTTTGAGTCGTAAAAACGAGTCAAAAAAGACCTCAAGAAAATGACGTGTTTTGATATTGAAAACATTACGCCCACAATAAAGAGGAAAATCTATTGATAAGGTCGATTATGAACGAGTTTGAAGATAAAAATATCGTTATTTAGTTTCAAAAGCACGACCGTCTCGTCAACTGCTTAATTGATACATTCAAGTCAAATGCGCAAATGCAATTAGGAGAAGGGTTTTCCAGAATTCATTTAGTAAATTAGACGACATTTCCATCATTCGTGATTTTTAATCCGCAATGGTTTTACGAAATCCCTGTAAATCTTCTTAAAAACATTTAAGTGGCAACGTTACATGAAATGAAATTCTTACTTTAGACGCGATAGGAGATTTAATGAACTGATAAAAACATAGGATCGATACAGAAGCCCACATCAAGGTATTCTAAAGTCAAGCCTGCATTTCAAGGACTTTTTGGACRTGACTATTACGCAACGCCCCAGTTAACGCCCGACATCTGGAAKATTAATACATCCATAATTCTGTATAAATTGGTATTAATGATTCATGGGTATAATAACATAGTGGAGACATTCTGACTTCWGTTATATTACATTTTTTAATTAATACCGACGGGGTTAACCACCACTATTTGTCGAACCATGTATTCAATGTTAAATGGGCTGACCCAAAACTGCACGGCCATCTGTGATCACTTTAATCCGCTGTTTCCCATCTATTCTTTTATCGCAACGTAACCAATACATGCACACCTATAATCATGATTAGGTTGTATTGGAATGAGAAGCGTACGACATCGTGGCACTCAAATGGTTTCCGCTCGATCAAAGGTGGCAAAAAAAGCATTTCATCCAATCAAACAGGATGACATTTGGTTAAAAAAAAACTACACATAGGATTTAGTAGTTGTTTTYGAGAAGCGGATGAAAACCGGAGAAAATTAGCCCTTGAAACAAAGGAGAGAACCAGCTGTGGCCCTGACGAGAAAAGAGATTTTGGAGGGCTGCGAYGGGTGCAACTGAGCACCGTATCCAAAGGGAAAGGAACAAACCATATTAAATATARTTTCTCTAAATTCCTCTTTTACTCCGACGAAGGACTAGCGTCCGAAACGTCAGTAAGTTTTTTCATCTTTTCACGGTGTTAAATTTACCCTTTTATCATTACTGTTTCTCTAAATACCTCAGTTTACGAAGCGCGCGGTACTTCGTTTCGCACAATTTTAGAAAATAAAATATATTGGATTAAGAAGTCACCGGGTCAAGTAAAGAAGTGGATAGATGGCCTGATTCTTAGCGATAGGAGAAGTCAAATCGCCTGCGGTAGCAACTATCATGCTATAAAGATATTAACGATAAGTCTGTCAATGGATAAATATCATACATAGCATTCGGTCTTTGTGTTTGACCACAGTTATTATTAATAAATAGTAAATTAAGAATAAATAAAGAATTATCGATGGTAGCTTAGTAATACAGTATATGTATTTACACGCCCCAAGGTGGTAGGGGACAGGGAAGGTCCACACACAGATATCCTCTATKGACGTCCAAGAAAACCTCTGGGAAACGACCGACACCTGTAAATCGACCAAAAAGGGGGATTTTAGGCCAATATTTATGGGCGCCGCGAAAACCTCTGAAATTTAATCTAAAACAGACGCTCGAAACATATGGTACCGTGCCGTGCCATTTCATGCACTTTAATTGGATGCTGCGCATTGTTCGATTTTTGATTACTTTAGCTAGATGGAGCAATAAAGGTGCGGTAATACGGGCAAAAAAATCGTGCAATTTCCTTGCGTTGCGAATTGCAGAGCAAATGTTGGTTGTTTTACCACTCCGCGCCCAACAAATTTTYATTGTTGCAAAGAGTGGAGCGAGTTTCTATTTCAGTGGTAAAGAATTCCAAGGATGGTAGGTTAAGGACATAGAAGTAGGGAACAAAGTGCAAGCCTTATCACCAGATTTTACCTAAGAAGATATCTGCTTGCTGCTCATATCGAATGCGGTCAATTCTGCGGACATGACCGGAAACTCTAACGAGATGCTAGCAAAAGAGTAAAGTAATTATGCTCACAATATRCTTTGAAGGTTTTRCAGAACCAAATAAATGCCCAAACGATTGCGCACGACCAGTTCATATCCATATTTTTGATATTCTTACAAACAATCGAAGTCTTATCTTGGAAGTTCTTCCTCGGAAACTTTAATGAGATGCTAGCTAACGAGTAAATTTATTATTTTGAAGGTTTTACAGAACCAAATTTACACCCATAGACTGAGAAGAAGTCGTAGTTTTCGCTCCTTTGTGGGTTGTGGTCGCTCAACTAGGTGTGTGAGCGACATCCAGAATCGACAGAAGAGCAAAAACACCGACTTATGGAATCAGTCTGTTAAACCAAATGAGTCGCGCATATTCTTATAAACTACCTAAAGTTATATCTATCTAGGAAGTTCTTAATTTCCTTGAGCAAATCACTCACGGGGTATTGACGTCACTTGATAATCTGAACTTGACTTTCCAATCTCCCTTGATCATCTTATTTCTATCGTGAAGATTTTGATTTGAAATCCTGCCAAAGAAAAACCGCTCAACAAATTTGGCTTTTTCCGAGATAACCGGAAATTTTGACTGTGAAAAGCTTTCCTTTTCACATGACTCAGGAATAAACTCACAAGAAAATAAGTTTCAAAAATAATAAGTCGTGGAAGTTTAGCATCGTTATAAAATGATATTTGTAGGAATARAGATAAGAGAATCGCACGTAGAGGTTTTAATGAACTTCTTAGGTGACATTTAGACGTAATGACAGGACAGGTCGTCAGTTTACTAGGTTCTTGCCAACTTTTTCTCTAAAGTGAAACATCAAATGACTTTCAATCAATCACCGTGGAGAGATAAATGAGGTTTTGGCAATGATAAACAAAGTCAAGCTTGGTTTGGTTTGTTTCAGGCGTGTCAGTATTTGGTCGAAAATAGTTGTTTTCTATAGAAAGTAAACGAATAGAAAAGATTAACAAGAATATCAGGCGTTTCATTTATCRAGATGTATTTATAAAAAAAGTAAACATATTTGAGGGAAATGATTGACAAGGAATCATAATGAATAAACAAGAAACAAAAGACAAAAATTCGTCTGATAATAAACTTGGCTTCTCTTTTGATTTGACCCCAAGTGCATTGTCACTCTAGCGGTTAATCAATTCGTGGTTGAAATTAAATAGACCAGTAGAATTCTAGCGGTATACTAATGGCTCGTGTGGGGGTTTTAGTTTCATGTGTTGTGGTATCTTTGTGCTGAAATAAAGAAACATGCTTTCACATCTGCTCCACACTATTTTCATAATATTTGTTTTGATAGAAAAAGTTWAAGTTGCTTTTTTTTCTTTCATTTTTAAGAACCAGGTTTAAGTAATCATAAATGATCTCATTAATTATCTTAGTAAATTAATGCGATTAAAGTGATATCGAGAATAGAAAACGAGTGTGGAAAACAAAACTTACAAACTGAAATAGCAAAAGAATTCACATGCTCGCTTTTGTGTATCCATTCGTAAAGATGCCCAGTGTGCGCTCTCGGTTTCATCATCAATCAARACATCATTGAAGGTCACGCTTAACAAACAAAAGACTCCTACAGACATCCTTTACAATGAATAAATCGCAGACAAAAACTTTTAAAGCCGTTTTACAAAGAAATGCATTCTGATTGAATTCAGTGGACTAATCTGTAGTAAATATTGGTGGGATACCGGGTTATTACTCAAAAGAAACCACAATTATATTCAAGATTATCTTAATAGCAAAGCTGCTAAATACAGACAAATTAATATATCAACAGCTTCTCTATGAACCGACACTTGGCTAAATATAAGCTAAAAGCTCCTGGAGTTCTTGTTATCGCGCAGACATCTGCCAAAGTTTTTCGATAAATTAAAAGTGTTTCTTCTGCGCGGTAATTTTGTCTTAGATTAAAAGTCTCACGCAAACCATGCTGCAACACCTTCAGTTTTCCTCTTTCGTATAATTTATAGTATTATTAATAATTGATTAAATGTGATTCATAAAAAAAGATTAAATTAAAATTTAATCGTTGCGTTTTGGGTTTCTAAAGTGAGAAGGTAAAAAAGTTCAACGTATATTGAGTGACTCACCTCCACTAGATACCGCGCAAGACTCCTTTACCGTGTTTCCAAGAATCAAAACAACGCCAAACAAACCAATTAATACACCCATGTCAGTCCAAGAAAATTTAGATAATCTTCTACAATACTCTCAGATAGATTCTTTCCTTGTGGGATTTCTGGTACTGTGACTTCGATTACACCTCGAYCGACCAAGAGTTTTGGTACTCTGACTTCTTGTCTCTTGACGGCAGAAGGAAAGAGGAAATGAGTGACATTTGATAAAAATGAGTCAAAATAGGAGCAAGTAGGAGGGCCCCAGTTACACTTATCAAATTTCTGGGGCTRGTTTGGACATCTGCCCGCTAAGGAATTTTCTAACTTTGACTTTCTCTAAAAGACACCAGGCGTAAAAGAAAAAAAAGCATATATATATATTATCCGCGTTTTTCTGCCATATTTTAATTAATAACTCATAGTTAATTAAGATATTACTCATCGCGAATGAATGAGAATTTGCCCAAACAGTCTTTGTAAACAAACTCAATGATTTGTTTTTACAACTTCTTGGCTTTTGACTTACGATCTTCTAAATTGCAGCTGAACCAGAAGTTGAAATAGAAGAGCTTATGTTATTTCTTGAGGACAAACTTTGATATTGCTGGTTGAACTGGGTAGTTCTAGAGCGTGTACACACACGTAGCATGCTTGTCGCAATATTGATACTAGTCAGTACCTTACCTTGGCGTGAGCTTTATTTAGTCTTTAGTAGTTTGATTATCTCGAYAGGAGCTTAGAAGATCTATTTCGGTTAACTATTTCAGCGTACTCAGTGGATGTCGCATATAAGAAATTCAAGACCTGATGCGTGAACCAATAAAACCACAGTACTAGCAATCAAACATAGGCCAAAGAGAAAGTATTTTAAACCGTCGTTTCGCAGATTGGAGTAGAAGAATAACAAAAATTTGCATRCCAATTTAGCTTTACGTCACAGTGGAGCAGGGCAGAGGTCGATGGTTATAAAGCACCACACATGTGGTATGTGGTGAATAATGAATAACTTCTTCTATAGTAGCTTTTAAACAAAGAAAATATTGGCTTTGAACATACAGCTGTTGTTTGGGTTGAACGAAAAATTTCTGGTTGTCTTCAAAGGAAATCCTTGATTTCAACATTCTTTTTTGGGGGGAAAATGGCTTCGTTTTATTCACATTCTGACACAAAACTGGGAGTCTGATTACGGAGATGAKTTGGTGGAGCACGAGGGAGCGTTACAGGAAATTAATCACCGGATATACAAACACACCATCAATTATTTAAGCTACTATCCGTTACAACACCTTGTTATTACATTACTTACAGCATTATTATATGGTATTTTATAAATCTGTGCTCCTGGAGCGGCGAGACGAGAGAATTTTTTCTCTATTTTTTTCGCGTGAAAAGATTAGCTCATGAATAAGGCCGAGAATCGGTGAGGGAGGAAAGATGTGTTTATTTGAGGTTTAACTCAGCTAGGGTCGTCACTTATCTTATAGTTTTCTGACCACGAAAGTAATTTAATAAACCGACCATGGTATATTTTATTATCGGGATCATCAGGAAGCACTATGTGATATCAAGTTTCGGGAAATTCCAGATTATCAATGGCTGCTTTGAGCCCACATAACAATCTCGAAATAAACTTCGAGCATGCGCAGTAAGAAATAAAGGCTCTTGATCTGGGAACGAGATTTTTCACAACATTTTTTAGACATGCGCAGTATGTAATTGTCTCTTTTCTTGCAAGACTTCTTTAACCAGTAAAAAAGGTAGTTGTACTGCTGTTTTTAGACGATGGCTTCTATGTGGACGGACTAAAGCTTCTGGAATACTAGTAGAGGTATATATATATGCATTGGGATTTAGGTATAAGCATTGGGATATGCATTGCTACTATTACAATAATGGGACAAAGCAGTTATATTTTGAAGCGGTGAAACAAGTAAAGTAAACGAAGCTCACGCATCTTGAGTAACGTMATTTTTTTTCGACGCAGACCCCACTCAATTCTGAAAAACCCCGGRGTTTAAAATTTTCAACGAAGCCTGAGTACGAGAATGGGGCCAACGAAAATTGCCGAAATTGCTCACGAATTGTATTGATATGGTATTATATTCGACTCTCTCTTATCGACCACTCTCGTAAGCGACCATCTCCCTTAAGCGACCACCTTCTCAAACTCCCGTTTCGTTTCCATATAAACACTGAAATCAATCTAGCGACCGCGACGACCGATAAGGTTCGATTTGGAAAAAAATTTTTAACTGTTTTCCCTCTCTGGTAAGCGACCACCCCTACTGATCGTGACATTTGACCGACCAGTCCAACCTCCCTAGAATGACAGGATATTTTCAAGAAACAAATTCTTTTAGGTTATTCGTTTGCCTATAGGAAAGCATAGCGCTTGTGAACCAACCATCTCCCATAAGTGACCAAATATTTCTGACCAAATAGTCGCTTACGAGAGAGTCAACTGTATAGTGTTCACACCATATATCCGTGAAATTTACTAACAAAATTGTACAAATTAGAGCAACGTTTTGTAGGTCAACGGTCTAGAGTGCAAACAGTTAATCCGTGAAACACTAATTACTAAATAGTACAAAACAGTGCTAATTAAACAATAGAAAACAATGGAATTTGCATGAAATTGTGCTATTTAGTATTACTAAAGTTTCACGGYTATATTGTTTGCACTCTACTAAGATCTACTGAACTTACTAATTTGTGCAATGGATGACAGGSMWRAAAAACGACAAGCCCKCTACTTTCACGATGTTTGTATTTGACTGAGTTTAATACTCCAAATTTTTAAGCGTTTCATTTGTGYCACTGCTGCTCGAAACTTGTGACGAAATTTTGTCGAATTAGAGTAAATCTACTTATTAGTATTCACGAAAATGTCAGTTTTTCTGCTGATCAAAATATAACCTCTCCCAAAGTACACGGCTTTTTATTTCAAATACGCATTCATTAAATTTTGGTCGCATTTGATATTTTGCTCCAAAAGAACGTGTTTACAGAATATTGAGCTTAAATACGTAAAGCTG